GTGCTCTTCCGATCTCCCCAAAACCCCAAAACCCCAAGCTATAATATTGTAGATTAATATTTAATGATAAGCAGAAATTATATTTTTCCTTCAAAATTTATTTATTTACTCTAACAACAACCATGACTGAAGATAGAATAATGACTAATCTCAATTATAGGCTCTTAAATTTCCACTCTAAAATTATTGATGATATTTTCAAAGAACTCAAGTGGAACCGAAACGTAACTGATCTAGAAAAGGCCTAAAACATTTAACTCCTTTGGATGTGCCGATAGTAATTAACTCACTTCCATTGTTAAAATATATTATTTAGAAACGTATTAATAGGATCTAATCGTGCACTCTTGGAATAGATCTAATTTTTCAATAGAGTACATAATATAGATATTGTCACTATGAATCCTGAATATATGATGAGTGTCAGAGAATTTCAAAAGCGTGTATCATTAATCTAAGGAAAAAGATAAAGAGATTTCTGCCTTAAGAGATATGATTTCCCAGACTAAGTCAAAAAGATGTAAGAGGATATCAATAATTACGAGAAAAATGATGATATTAAATACTTGTTTGTATTCAGTGATAGACAGATGAAATCTTAGTCCTATATTGATTTGAACACCAAGGATTCAGAGTCAATGTTAAAAAATTTGGAGTAAGCAGACTAATTGAATCTATGTTTTATACATTCAACAGTAAAAAACAGCTTAATCATTTATGGAAATAAGGTTAAGCTACAGTTTTACGCGTTAATAAACAATTTTGAGAGGTTAAATATCTAAGTTTTCAGTGAAACTTTTGTTAAACTTTTCAGTGGATACCTTTTCGTAGATTAAGAACGTTCTTCTAAGGCTCAGCTAAGCATGACTGAGTTTTTCCGGCTACTAGAAGAAAGAGGTCACACAAAGCACAAAATAAATTAAATTTGGGACAGATGCTGTAAATTGATTTTGCTCTAAATATTCTCAATCTTCGATTAGATGTACCTCCTTAGCCTAAACACATTCTAAATAGTCTAGTTTGAATTTGAAATAACTCAAGATTTAGAGGTATATTGCAGCCGAATAAAGGTTGATCATAAATTTCCAAAAAGAGGTAATCATCTCGACATCTTTAAGCGAGTGATGTTAAAAGAGATATTAGTGAATATTAAAAGAAAAATATTGAAATAGCAGATACTGAACTAGTTAAAATAAAGTATGAATACACCTAAGTTTCTATATCTACTTAAGAGAATGAAAAATGATCCAAACCTATCCAAATCTAGCTCTAAATTTGACAATTCTATTGATGTCTTGCTAAAAGAAGACTATACTAAGCCTAAAATGAGGGAAAGAACAGTCAGAAATATAAGTGAAGAACTTTTTAGTAAAATTAGAAGTCAATAGAATCTAATTAAATCTGGAAGCACTAAGTGTACAAATTTTGACTTGCTTTTACAGCCAGTAAAAGTAGAGAAAACATTGATCCCTATATTTTATCATTACAAAAGAGGAAAAATTGATTTGATGAATGCATTTCTCTAGAAAGCTAGTATAGATCAGCCAATAAGTCATAGAAAGTATCAAGAATATTTGAATAAATGGAGTATTCAAAATCATAAGGAATATGTTGAGCTTGGATAACAAGACATTTTTAGGAGAGAAAACCAGAATGATATTATCATAAATAAGGGAAAAATTATTAAAGGTCAAAATAACTAGGAATATTTAGCCAATTATGAGGAGGAAAAAGATCCACATAAAGTCCTTAAAGCCTTGCTTGAACAATCATAAGTATATTCTTTCTTGCAACTACTCTCATACACAAAGAGGTTCTCTGAAAATCAGCTTTAATATTCTTTGTTTGAAATCTTCAGAGACTCAAAGCTGAATCCACAGATTTTCTCCTACCAATGTACTATTCTAACAATTGTAAACCCTTAGGATGAAAAAATTAAAGAAGAATTTACAATGCTTCTCTAATATATCAAAGAAAAATACGATAATACAGCAAATGCCAAAGCATAATTACTTGAGGGATAAGTAAATGTTCAAGATAAATCTAATAAACTTATAAAGATATTCCTTAAAAAACTAAGAAAAATACTAATTTTGCAAGAATCTTCAAAACTGCAATAGTACCGGACAAGATTTAAGAATATTGAGATAAAAAAGTGTAGATCATAACGATAGTTTTCTTATGTCAGAAAATAGAACATTAGCTTAAAAGATACTGTTTAGACATTAGATCAGTATCTTTTTGGGGCTTCTTAGCCAAAATAAGTATAAGGTAGCACTCAACTAGTAAGAAAATTCGTAAGCGGTAATTCAACAGCTAGATTATATAAAATTACTGCCGCAAATAGAAAGACATTAGCTCAACATGAGAATGATCCCCAAAGTACAATGACTCTTGCAGACTATGAGATAGATTCAAATAAAGTATAAGGCGATTAAAAAGAAGTTCCTGCTAACTAGATCAAAGAAAAATTCTCTGATATGATCAACCATATGTAAGATGAAACAAGTATCAGGGAGGCAGTTTTATCAAGCAGAGGAAGAGAGTCTTTAATGACTCCATAATCAAGAAACTCATTTTTGTATGTGAAATCTCCTAATGAATCACATAGAGCATAAACTCCAAAAGTGGTAACCAGCAATGAAAAAAGATGCAGTAGCGTTATGAGTAAGAGACTTAAGAGTGTTGTAGCTAGAGAGCCTAACTAGTATAGTGTAAATTATCTTGGCTAACTCAAAGAAAGAAGGAGGAGAGCTGAGTAAGCAAGGTTAGCTAAAGAGGAAATAAGTCCTGATAATCATGTAAGTTAGTCAGCCCTTCAGCCAGGATTCTTCTCATCTAGGAGGCAATAAAAATTAGAAGAAGAGTAAAAGCAGATTAAGATGCTAAAGAAAAGAATAGCCGAAGGTTTAAATAATAAAATGAAAAGGAACGCCAAGTAAAATTAGATTGAATAGGAACTCATAAACGATAATGGAATAGCATTAAAGTTAGAAGATGATGAGTCGAATCTAGAATATAGCTTATAGGAATTAGAGGTTGAATCTTTAAGAATAAACAGCAAAAAACTTAGAGAAAAATACATAGAGAAAGTAATAGATATTCATCGCACCTACAAATAGTAAAATACCTATATGATTAGAATTTTCCCATTCAATGAAGAGTCCAGAAATTTAGTCTCAAAGATCAAATACTCCTAAGTACTCATCCAAGAAGATGAGGAAAAAGAAGAAGAGGAGTACTTCTAAAAGAAAAAGCCTCAAAGAGTTTTCCAATTGTAAAATAGAGATTAAATAAAGAATGCTTTTGCCAAAATGGTTGCATCTAACTTTGATGACTATATCTTTATTAGAGACACCAATACTGATATTCTCAATTGTACCGCCACTGACAATAAAGAGTAACATGATTGAACAAACTTAAAATTTTACTATATCTTTTATTTTTATTGAAAATAAATTTATTTTAATGCTTTTGGATCAAGCAATTTTGAGATAGCGGGGTTTTGGGGTTTTGGGGTTTTGGGG